CAGGATATTGGGAGCTTTTTCCTTCTCCAGAGCACCCACATTGATCGGAATTGATTTTCTTTGTCTTGGTTTTTGTAAAATGGGACATTCTTTTTTCCAGTGTTCCTTCTGTTTACACTATCTACACTGTCCTTGTCACAAATGGTGGCTTGGGAAGTGGGCCACCTAGCTGTTTCCAGATCATAGTTTATTTTGGATTCTATCTCACTTTTATCCTAAACCCCTCTCAAAATGTTCTGACAGGTGTTTTAGTTCAGACAAAGGGGTCATTCCAATTTCTATTTTTGAATTAGGCTTCTAGTTTCAGGTTTAACTCCACTGACAGAATGAGACGAAAGAGCTGTTTACTCCTGCACCTTCATTAACTGCTGTATGTTGCCGGGAGGTACTTTCTAGCCTATCATGAAAATTTCCTAGCATGCTTGAACTATGGCCCAATCAATTTTTATTGGTTAGTATCTGGGGAGACTTTTAGGAGACTTTGCCCTATTTTTCAGTTTTTTTTTTAAAAAAAATCCTAGGTTTATTGTGGAAAGAGAGATCCTATAGATCCCTTTTTGGGCCACTTCAATCAGCCATCCAAGATTTAGCATTTGAGGTTCTGACCAACATGTGCTCAAGTTGATATAGGTTAGGTAACTCGGAATCATATGCACCCAAAAGAATTTTTAATTCTTCTAGGAATAGTTGCTGGTTTTGCTGGAGAGTAGGGAGGATCCTGAATTACAGCCCTTAATTCATCTTGGGTCCAAAGTTTAAATTCTACAGTTGCCTGCATATCTGGCTCGTTGGAGGGATGGATTTTTATAGGCAGCTAGTATTTGTGGTCATAGCAGAGTTGTTGAGGAAAGGTAGGGGTTCTGGTCAAGAGGAAGAGAATGGAGTAGTTGATGAAGGTGAGGAAAGAGAGATCAGAAAGATAAAGGGCAAGAGGGATATTGGAAATAGGGAGGCACCAGAATTAGGATTGTAATGAGAACACATATAAGCAGCATCAGTTTTTCATGAAGGAGGAGAGGATTTAAGTTTAGAGGGCCCCAGGAGAACTGGCAATGGGGCGATGCTTATACTCTTAGTGTCTCGGGCCCCCCACCTGATGGCTGACCCCTCTGAACACAGACCTGACAATCTGTGCCCCATGGCAGGTGGCAAATTAGAGTAAACTCTCTCTTAAATTTAAGGCAAACTCTCAGGACAAAAAAGAAAACAACAAAAAAATCAAGACGGAAGGAATCTCACCTAGTTTTATTGGTTACCGCCCAACAAAATTTGTCCAAATGGATGCCAGTCTGGAGAGAACTGCAAACTCATTGGTCTGTAAGGCCGCTCCAACAACAGGCTTATAGCGCCTGTGCCTGTGTTCTACCCTGTGATTCTGCTTATTACAAACAACACTTTTAGGAAGCACAGTACAAAACAGAAGTACAAAAGGGAGCCAACAAGGATGAAAAGGAATAGCCTGATTCCACCAAAGATGCCTAACAAATGGGAACCAATAACAAAACCTGGGTACCAATTTTAGAATAAACAGCTGAGGAACTCAATGCAAAGACAGCAGAGTTCATATCCAGCACTGACATACCACGAGGACACAGACTTGACAAGTGATAAACAAGTGATAAACAGACTTGACAAGCAAGGTACAAGGGGCTCTCTGTGGGTACCTCATCTGGTCCAAGGCTGGGGTCTACGGTGATGGAGAGTGCAGACTATGTCTCAGTGGAGTCTTCAGGAAAACTGTGGAAATAAACAAAGACCACCCAAATAATTAGATTTTCAGAGCTTGCTAGAGCAAGGGAGTTCATCACCATCACTTGCATTTGGAAGACTCAAAGGCAGTCAGGGGAGTGGAAAAGCTTTATGGTAAAATAATGAGGGAAAGTTTGGGGGTGCTCTGGTTGGACAGGAAGATAGGTTGGCTAAAGGAACGAGCATCTTATGTCATTGGTGTGGGGAGCATACTTGGCTTTCTCTGGTTTGTTCTGAGTTGGAAGCAGGTGAAAAATAGGGAAACTGGCAGTTATTGAAAGTGTTCTAACTGTTCTGGGCAGGTTAGTGCAGGGGTTTGGTTTGGCTTCCTGGGCTACTTGAGGCTGATGCTGTGTGTTGGGGTTCTCATCTGGCCCTTGTCCATTTGTAATTTTTTTTTTTTTTTAATCATCACCTGAGGATATTTTTTTCATTGCTTTTTCAGAGGGAGTGGAAGGGAGAGAGACAGAGAGGAACATTGATGTGAGAGAGACACATCAATTGTTGCCTCCTGCATGTGCCCTGACATGGGTGGGGATTGCTCCTGCAACCAAGGTAACGTGCCCTTGGCTGTAATAGAATCTGGGATCCTTCAGTCTGCGGGCTGACGCTCTAACCATTGACCCAAACCAGCTAGGGCTGACCCTTGTCCATTTGTATAATCAGTCTGTCAAGGTGAAGATGTCATTGAGCAGTTAGATTTTATTAAACATCATAACTATCTCCTCCATGTCCCTATTTTACAGACGAGGAAAGCAAAGCTCAGGGACTGCGAGTAATGTATCTAAGGCCATACAACTAGTGACACAAGCAAAATTCAGAACTACAAATGTTGGACCATAAAATTATTCTGATGTTGCCTTAGCTGTTAGAAATAGTAGGTACTTAAAATTTTTCATTGGATGACTGAATGGATGACAATAATTTTGGAAAACTTCTTTTGAAATTGTCTCCACAGCCTGCGTTTTTTAAATCCTTCAATGATGGCATGTGTTGCTGCATTCCGTTTTTGGAAACAAACATTTTTCCAAATAAAGACTAATGTGAAAGAATGTGGATAATGTGAGAGAATCTGCTGGCTCAACACCTAGTGTGTGCATTCAGTAATAAGATGGATCTTGGGCTTTCTGCATATCCTGCATGTGATCAACAAAGCAGCTGTGAAGGCTTTTCCAAAGGAAAAGTTGTAAAAATAGTTGCATTTTAGGAATAAGAACCCAACTTTTCCAAAGTTCGAAGGCCAATGCTTATTAAAAAAAAAAAAAAAAAAAGCGAAATCCTCATTATTTTTACAGTTTATCTTTCTGTGTAGTTTTACACAGTTCTCAAATTGTCTACATCATTCAACAAATATTTGTTGAACATCTATTATGTGTTCAGTGTGTGCTTTGAACATAGATTTGAAACATAGCTCTGTAAACCAGGAGCTCAGAGTCTAATTAAGGAAGACAGAAAGTTAACTGAAATGCAATTCCACAAGTACCATGGTTGATAAATGGCAGGATGCCCTGGGAGCATACAGCAGAAATGGTGGTGAGTTGGTACATGTTAAACCACTGACTCCTGGTGGGGCGGAGGTAGGGAGGTAAGGGCTTGATTTTTAGTGGTTGCTTATTTCCACGGTGTAAATACTCCCACCACGACCAATTTCAAGCTACCAACAGGATGCCACCAAAAAGGAACTTGGATAGAGATGTAAGCAGCACACCATTATATCCTATTTCCATTATTCATGTATACAACAGATGGAAATAATGGCAAAAGCGCAGAAAATAGTAAAATAATTAGGAAGTGATGAGTTTGAGTATTTAATTTTGCTTTCAATAAAGTTAACTTAATTGCAAACTTATCTAATTTATTTTTAAAGAGCAGCTATATTTAAAAACCAGCTCACAAAATTACTGAACATTTAACAATCGCCTCTTGCGAGTGTGAACCAGTGCAAATGGGCTGCAGCACACCCCTGCACAAGAGCAATGCCAGGAATTACTGTAGATTCACCCAAAACGAAGATTGGAAGGAAACCGAAGGCAGGGATTCCGCCTTTTCATTTCTGTATCTCTGGCACCTAGCACTACGAGGCTGTGGAATGGTCACCGTAAATCATTAATGCAAATTTTAAAAAATTAGCCGCTACTATATCCTGGGCACTATTCTAGGAGCTTGGGTGGGAGCGATGGCGGTAAAAACCAAGGCCCTGCCTTTAGGAAGTTTACGTGTGTGTATAATGACAAATGTCTGTCCTACAAGGTGGTGGGTGATAGGGTTAAAAATTCTGCAGTGCAAAGAAGTGGAGAATTGCCATTTTGTCAGGGGTTGTGAGACGGCCGGAGGTGGGATGAGCAGCTCCGGCACCAGAAGCGCGGTCTAAGGCAGGCTGCAGCACAGGCCGCGCGCCAGTCTCACCGGGCGACGGGGCTGGAGCACCCAGGAACTCGGCGCATTTTTCCTTCAGACCCCACGCAGCGGCTCTTCACTTACTGCCTCAGCCCTTTCGCACGCCTGCCAAGTCCCTCCTTCAGCGACACTAGGGCTTAACCAGCCCGACCAGCGGCCGCGAGGCGGGGCTCACCTCCAGTCCCGCCTGAAGCCCGCCGACACCACCGCGCATGCTCAGATTCTCCAGCGCCCGGCGCGCCGTCCGCGGCGGTTCGCGCATGTGCGAGAGCGAGATGCAGACTTTGGACCCGAGGGCTCGCCGTACCGTCCGGGCGGCGAGCGGCGTCCTGGAGGTGCCGTGTGTCCGTCGCGGTCTCCCGGGCTCCCGCCGCAGTTACTACCACTGGCATGAACCAGGAGAGTTTCTCGGCCGGCGAGAGGCTGGTGTCGCCGGCGTACGTGCGGCAGGGCTGTGAGGCCCGCCGCACGCACGAGCACCTCATACGGCTGCTTCTGGAGAAGGTACCGCGCGGTCGGGCACAGCCCCCGCCGCCGCGCCCCCTGGCTCCGCCCCGCGTCGCCG